GTTTTCAATCAAACTGAAGCTCTAACTACACCAGATCCTCCAGGAATTATGTTTTCCAGTGCCTAATTCTGCTTTGTGTGAGCAAGTCTTCCCTTTTGTTTTAAATTTCACTTTATTTTATTTATTGTTCAGTTCTTCTGTTATGAAAAATCCATGAACCAAAGTCTGCTCTCAGATTTCTTGAACTCAGCAAGAGCTGATAATATGATTCACCCTCTCCGCATCTACCCAGATTATGTTACTACTGTCCCAAATGTGCACTGTCAAACAGCATGTCAACATCCTGTTGACTGGTCTAGAGTACCAGCAGATGTGCTTTTCGGTGGTGTCAGATATTAGACTGGAGGTGGAAGTCAGTGGTTCTAAGGCATTCTGTCTGATCTTTGGACATGCTGACATTATAGACAGTCCCAGAAACTGCAACACACTGTCCGCTGAGCTCTTGACCTTACACATTTTCCCTCCAGGGTGTCATTAAATGAACGACAGTTCATGGAAAGCCAAGCACAGGGCTGTAGATAAGATGCAAAGTCTCCTTATATTTTCATTTCACAGAGAGGTGTCATGTCTTGAGAAGGATTTGCATTGTTGTGACACTGGAGGTTCCCTTGAATACTTCACAGACATTAATGGAAAAGAATTTGGCCAAAATAAACTAGCAGATTAAGTGGAGGCCTTAAACACAAACAGGAACACTACCTAAGGGAAACAGGGGGCATGCTATGTCCCAGGGATAGGAAAATATCCCAGAGGTTCCAGTAGAAGTCTGAGGAGTGGTAAAAATAATGACATATTCCTGAGATTCAAAGTAGAAAGGACAGTTGATCTCATATCTCCAGAGTAAATCCTTCTCTTTTGGCCTTATGTGAGGGTCAGGAATTTGTTCAGTAACAATTACTGTTATGACTACAGACGGAAAATTCCTGCTCTGTGCTCCAAGGATTTCACAATCTAGTTGCACTTAATGTCACTGGTTGCATAGGCACCACATAAAACGTTAGTTATACTAGCATCACAGTCCATCCTGGGTATTAAGTCTACATTGATGCTTTTTGCATGGTCACAAAGGTTTCATTCTCCATGACATTACATCAGACCTGGGATGGTCCACACAGGGGATAAGATAGTCTATAGTCAGAGTTCCTCTCCCTCCCAGCACAAAAATAAATGGTAAACAGGAAGGAAACAAGAGGACTGAAGTAAGGGAGGAGACCCTACCACACAACATAACAAATATATAGACTGTGATGTCCAGAGCAAAATGTTTTCCTGAAGCATGTCTCCTACAAAGAATCCCTGCTTCAGGATTCAGTCTATCTTCTGATGCACCACAGTGATATCTCTGCTTGACCTGCACAAAATCTTCTAAGTTTGGGATCCATCCGAATCACACATAGCTCAGCAGCCTGGCATGAAGTGTGCAGAAAGCAAAGGAGAGGAGAAGGACAACACCACCTCTTACACCAGCTGGCCAGGTGACCAGGGCATGTGGCATAGTGTGGCACATTGCTGGCTCATCCAAATGTGGCCATCAGAATGGCCATGAGGCCTATCTTGAACTCACAACCAGAGAAGAGCTGCTTCAAGAGCTGCTACATCCTCTCCTCAAATGTCCGAGTGATGGATCCAAATACCCAATCTGAGGCTTGGAGGCTGTGCAGGGTGGACAATGAATGATGTTACTGAGAGTTTTCCACTTAGCCTTTTTCAGTCTTGCCGGTTTTTACAGGCTGAGATAACAGATTTTGCACTATGTTTTGTCATGAAAATCCATCAAAGACAGGGATTTCTGGTCTAATGTCCTGTTGTTATAAGGCATAACTTCCTGAAGAGAGACTTTTTCCTTTGGTTTATTTATTTATTTTCCTTTAAGTTCAGCCTAAACCCTCCCTTCCTGTTGGGAGCAACAGCTGCAGCATGCGACATCAGCTTGCCAAGCCTGAATGACTGTGAAATATCATTTATCTTGGAGCAAGATAGTATCAAAGAGAACAACCTTGTGGGCTTATGCCATGTGGGACTATGCATTCATTACACAGCTGTGCTTAGGAGGAGTAGGATAAATTGTGGTATCAGAGGCAAAATAGGTCCCACATCTGAGCTACAACTCTTGGACGTGAAAGGATTGTCACATCTGAAAGCACTACCAAGAAAAAAAAAGGGAATTTTGGTTTCCTTGCTCAAAATAACACTGAGCTTTCAAGGGTTGGAGATGCAAAAGTATTCACCAGGGCAGGAAACCAATACTTCTTGTGTAGGTTAATGGGAACATCATGGTCCCAAGAAGGTCAAGTAGTTGTCTGGTGAAGACTACAGAGCTGACACACATGCTTCCTGGCATACATGTGTTATCCCACAGATCTGGTGAATCCTGCATGAATGTCACAGTCCATAGATAAAAATTGTTTTCAGCTACTCCTCTGTTATCTTCTCTCTTTAACCTTTTTTTTGGGGGGAGTCTAAATTTTTCCCACCAGCAACTGCTATTCAAAGGTTAGGAGAGAGTTCAGATAAACTGGAAATTAATGATTAATCACGTATTTTCCCCACCACCACTCCACTCCCATCTTTTGCTCTGGGTTCCTTTGGTACCTCCTGTCCCTCAGGGCCAGATGGCTGAGAGCACTGGGATGCTCTTTGTTTAGCGCCCAGTCTCAGGCTCTTCCGGAAGCATGCTGGGCTGCATGGTGCTTCCCTTTTCAACTTCACATATTTCACATTAATGATGAGTGGGAAAGGTCAGGGAAGGTCTCTTTAAAGGCTTGCTTCAGGGCAAGCAACAGCCTTGGGAAATGGCTCTCTGATTTCTGGGAATACCAGTCTGTTTAATAAACAAAGAAAGAAGTCTTAAGAAAAGTGAAGATGTCAAGGTGTTAAAGGGAATTTTCCCATGTGGCTTGGTTCTGCCAGAATCCTCCTATATAAACGTGAGTATAACTCTTCCAGTAATGATGGTGGTGGGAGACCTGCTTTAATAAGAGCAAAGACAGATGAAAGAAGTGTTGCACAGATGCAAAGGGGTTAAGCATTAGGAATTAACAAGGCTCAATTTAGGGCAGTCCACTTGGGTGTGTGAATGCCATTTTGAGTAGTTTGCTACAGAAGTCCTGGGAAGGGTCTAGACCACTGGCACTAACATAATAAAGCCATTAATATCATTATCCTACAGTTCATCTGCAGCAGCTAGGGAGTCTCTTCTCAACAGCAGTTCTGAAATTTCTCAGGGATCATAGAATCATAGAAACATAGAATGGTTTGGGTTGGAAGGGACATTAAAGATAATCTAGTTTCAACCCCCCTGCCATGGGCAGGGGCACCTTCCACTAGGCTAGGTTGCTTAAAGCCCACCCAACCTGTTATTGATCAGGATGATTTATTGTAAAAACTTTGCATGACAACAATTCTCATGGCCCAGAACAGAAAGTCCCTGTTTTACCTGTGCACATTATGTTTAAAATACAGAAGAACCAGTAATCGATAACATGCCCATCAGTATTTTCAGAGGGAAGCTATCTCATGTGAATGAATGTCATACTATACAGAAGAAGCCAGTGGAGCAATGTCATGAGTTTTTCCTCTTTGTTTTGTCCCTTGCTCTTCTCTTTCTATCACTAAATATTCCAGGGCTCTCTACCACAAGCCCAGAGTGTGGAAATGCTGACTAAAGTCATTTATTGCATCCATGCTCACAAACAAGTTGTTATTTGCCTTTGGCATGTAAATAAGTCACTGTTCTTTCCATCCTATAGCTGTTAAAAAAATACTGTGAACCAAGTTCAGAGCATTGATTTCTTGTAGGAGGTCACTGAGATTATTTCACAGAAATATCCGGTGAAAATTTTGCAAACAGGATGGTCACAGCCTGATTTTCATGACTCTGTTTTTTTCCACTTCCATTCTGATGGTACTGTGCTTTCGCTGTCACAAGCAGACAGTTAATTCATCCTGACTCACAAACACTAAGAAAACGGAAACTTTGTCCACTCTTCTTAGTGTCCAAGGCATATGCATTATAAATTACTTGTACTTTGGTATGACCTAGAAGTCCTAGTCCATGTCAACCACATGACTGACTGCGTATGCACACTTACAACAACTACATACTGCTGACTGCAGTACAGCATGCAGACAGCCAGATAGCTTTAAATGGCAGCAATATAAACAGGGAGCTGATAGCCTAGTCCAGGCTGAAAAACTTGCTGCAGAGTATGAGTAAATTAACCTCGGCAGACCAATAAATGCATCTTATTTATAAATAACACCTGCTTATAGATTGAAATAAAAATACCAAGACTGGAAGGAAATCAGTTGTCTCATCTTTATTCTACCAGTGGCAAACTGAGGCAGAGATTAAATGCTTTGCCAAAGGTGCCATAAGAAGCCTGTGCCAGAGCCAGGACTAGAGTTTTCTGTGCTGCAGCCTGTGCTGCAGCCGCAGGTTCCTTCTTGTTCTGAGCCCTGTGTAGATTCATGCTATATGCTGAAATAACTACTCAACCCAGTAAATGTCATTCTCAATTTTCACCTGCTAAAAGGGTAAAATAAGTTAGACTATAAGTGTTAAGGGTGCTGCTGGGCAATGAAAATTGAAAGCCCTACTTTCAATCCCACCCACTGATGGTAGGCATTTTAGGAAGGGAGTCAGCAGAAAGTTTTGCACTTAGAAATAATATCAACAGCAGCGGAAAGGGGTTTGGGAAGCTAATTTAATAGGTGCTTCTAGATTTGGCTAAGAATGAAAAGAGCATTTTCTTTCCACTAGTTGCTCACTATAAAAGCAAAGGGGTGGAATACATCCAACTTGCAAAACTTGAATACAGTTACTGCTATCTGCAAATGGGTGCCCCTCCCCGCTCATGTGAGCTACACAGGCAAAAGAGAATGACACATGTGCTGTTTCCTTTTCCAGTTGTAAAGGGGTCAGGAGCCAGGCAAGGAGAGCCTGAACAAGAGAAGCATTTTCCTGGGTTCTTCCAGCTGTTCTGTTCAATCTCGCCGTTGGTTCTGAGCAGGGAAGAGAGACTGTCTACACAAATAAGGCATTTTTCAAAGACGTAAATTATGAGTTCCCAAAACAATACGACATCTCAACCACGTGAGTACCCTTACCCCCCACCTCCTTACAATAAGAGTGGATTTATCAGTCTGTTGCTTAAGGAAAAGATTGTCTAATGCATTTCATATGGAAAAGAAAAAAAAAAGAATGCCTGAGACTGATCCTGAAGAAAAGAACTTATGAAGAAACTGTATTCCTTTTTTATTCTTTGTATCTGTGTGCGTGCGTGTGTGAGTGAAGAACTGAAATAGGCTTTGCAAACTCTGGCTCCTGCATAGGACTGAGCAAAGTTCATAATGTTTCTGCCTAAACCCTGGCTTAGAAAAGTTTCATTTGAATGTTTTTCCCTCCCCCCACCTTCAGGAATGAAAATATAGAGCATTTCGAAAGCGTACTGACGCTTTTCTAAGATATTAATGGTACTGCCCAGCTTGCATTTGGAGTCTCAAGCTCTCTGTGTGTAACATGAGATGCAAACCACAAACTGACAGTCTATATTTAAAGCTACAATGTGTTTCTGCTCCTGGAAATTTAGAAACACGGGCTTAAGGACAGGCAAACTGGTTTCTCGGCAAGAGAGGATACAGGAGAACAAGTCCTCTGTTTGTGTAACTCCACATATTTCAGTAAATTTTAAATGAAAGAATTTGGCCCGAATGGTCGAATGAGCACAGAGGCAGAGCTGGGCACGGTAGTGTTCATTTTGGGACAGTATTAAAAACAAAGTGGAGGAAATGGGGGTAGATTTTGATTTGATAAGGTGAGAAAACTGTGAGTTTTGGTGCTGCAATATATCCATATTTCTTTCATTACTTTAGTGTGATAATTCCTGTTTTAATTCAAGACAGTATTTTTGTTTAATTTTTAATAAGTAAACTGCCAATAGCAGAATTGCTTATCATACCATGGTATCAGTAATGAAGGCAGAAAGTACAGACAGCACTGCTGGGAGCAGCACGCAATTTAGGGTTTGATCCAAATATTGCTGTAAGGATATTTGTTCTGTATAGCTGTAGACACTGACAATGTTTCCCAAGCTTTGAATGAGGAAGGCTGATCCAGCAGAAATGACACAGTAAGCAGAATCTCTGGAATCCCAACCAGCAATTTCTATTTACTCTTTAGTCCTTTTAGCAGGTTATAACCAACAAGAAAGATTAGATGCTACGTTTACATTTTATTCTCTTTCACTCCACAGTTTGGAATATTGTAGCTTGTTTTCTATGACAGTTTGTTTTCCGTTATTGATAGGAAAGTAACAGGCAGGCTATTTCAGGATTCTGAGAGTTCTGGGTTTGGAAACCCTGGAGGGTGGTCATGACTGACTGGGTGCATCTTGAGCATTGTGCAATATCACCAAGGCTTGGCCAGGTGATGTATTCAGGACCAGCTCTACAGTCCTGAATACATCACAAATCACTTCTCTGGCAGAGCCAGGTTGCCAAAAGACCCCAAAGAAGGCCCAAGGGTGGATCTGGATGAGGACTCAGTGCCCCATGGAGCCTTTGGTCTGCTCATTATGAGCAAAACTGATGTATCAGGTTCTCTTGTTTTTTTCAAAAATCTGGGCAGGAATTTTCAGCTTGAACTATTTTAAGATCATATGGTTGTCCATGAAAATAAGTGGCTTTAAATCTAGCTAAAAGTATTCTGGCTGAAAAATAGTGACAATCTATTCTTTATTTGTCCTCAAAATTTCCTCTGCTGATTCAGCAAAATATTCCTGTGTTTTGCTTCAGTCTGTCTTTGGTTGCTCCTTTTTTTTTTCTTTTTAAAAGGTACATGGATCAAATATACAGTTTAAGAACAAAATTAAATTAGAGGGGTCTGATAGTACCATATTTCTGTACACTGCAAGCTTGGTGCAAGCATTGTTTTTATAATGATTTAGGTTTTGAGGGAAAGTCTTCATGAAAAGTCTTGTTTCCAAGTAAAATTCCTGCAGTTTTTGTGAGAAACAAGACATTGAATGTTCAGTGTATTGACAGGCACTGCACAGCATGGGCAGCAGATGTTTGCCAGAGAGGCAGAGTAATTGGGAAAACAAATTTGCTTCATAGCACCCATTGACATGGGTGTGAAAATACATTAAAAATCAGCAAAAACCTTTGACTATACTGAGCATATTAATTCTTTGCTGAGTACCTGCAGGTGAGACTACAGAGCACCTGCCTACTAATGTAAGCTGAACAGTGTTAAACTTCCTAATTGCTCATGTTCTTTGCTTATCTCCTTGTATTCACTCATAACTGATAAGAAATTTTTATTCATTCTATAAATACAGTATGATCCTGGCAATCCAGGTGGGAGCAGACTACTGTTTCAGATGTAAAATATTCAACTCTATGAACTCTGCAAATGCATTCTGCCTCTATATGGGGATGCCACACCATCTAACCTAGGGCACTTCCCATGCCCAGATCAGATATCTCATCAGTCTAATTGGGCTCTCCCTACACACAACAGAAAGGCAGGTGAGACAGTAATTCAGCCTGCTGATGTTAGGTGGTGGGTATATATTTACTCCAATGTTCACTGTTAATGGACATTTGTGTGTGGCTGTAATAAAATGAAATACTCAAGTAAATAGGTTAAAGCCAAAAATGGAGTTGGGCTTGAATTTTGTTGGCTCATATTTAATACAATATTGTGCTGTGAGTATATCTTCAGTTTCTTTCTTCTTCTTCTACTTCTTCTGATATAAAAGGGACCTAGCCTGACTGCAGAAATGTGAACCTCTTGATTTTCAACTGCATCCCTTCTAAATGCATCACCTTCTGGTGATGCATATACTTCCTCCCACCTCCGCTCAGATGTGCAAGTAGTAGCTTCCTGACTTACTATGAAACCTGAGGAATTCCACAGACTTGGCAATCTCGATTCAGATGGCAGCTTTTGCTCATTTTCTTTCAGTCTGCAGTGACCCTATTTTGAGGCAATGGAACAGCTCAAATGAGGTGAAGGACATGCACAATAAACGTCACTGGGCCAAAAGTTCATTCTGGGGAGGCAGTGATCTATGCAAAGCCATCTTCAGGGGTCAAAGGTGTTTATCCCCTTGAAGAAGGTGCTCTGCAACTTGCAGGATTTAATCTGTACTCAGCATGCTGGGAATGTTTTATCTGGGGCCTCTTATGCTCCAGATGCCAGCTGTCAAAGGAATTAGTGGTTAAGGGAAGCAGGTTGTGGATGCTTCTTTCTCATCACCTATCAACAGATAAGGTCTTCCTTCTGAGTGGATAGAGAAGTAATGAGATCTGTGCTATGCAGAAGAATTGGCCCAAAAGGAAACCAGGGAACAAGGCTGGTCCTCAGGTCATGCCCCAGCTGCAGAGGGAGGAAGAGGGTGAAGCAAAGCCCACCTTTTGAGCTATGCATGTTCCATCTGCATTGTCAGCTGTTGTCCAACAGTAGTCCAGGTACAAGCCCTGCACTGCTCAGGAGAGAAGATCCTGGTGCCGCCTCTGTTCTACAAGCAGGTCTCAGGTCCATCACACCAAGATTCTCCACCTGTCACAATGACAGGGCTTCTGGCAAAAATGAGTCAAGTATGTGTGGGCTGTCCCCTCCAGAGAGGCTGAGAGCTTGGCAATGGTGGCCCCTGATAAAGGCAGAGTGACCTACAGCTGTGAATGAGGAGTCTGATTCTGAGAACAGCCTTGCCCTATCTTTAACTTATAATGAGATATATTTTGGGGCTGCAAACTAGTCATTTAGATGTTTCTGGAGCAATACAACTTACCTTTCACACAGGGTCTGTGAAAAGCCTTGAATGAACCCTATAGGCCTTTAATCATGTTTTTCATGCCTTGGCAATAGATGTGATTTCATTGCCCTTAATCAACAGAAGCACTTGCCTGTGATAGTAACTAATAAACAAAAATGGAGGCTATTGATTATGAAAATTTGGTCTTCACTGGTAAACCTGTATGCACTTATAAGTAGGGAAACCTATAGATTATAATAACCTCTCATTTTTAGCATAGAAGTCTCAAAACATGTCCCACAAGCATTTATGTAAATTGATGTCTCTCCTTGTATGTTTGTTTCCCACCACTGTGCATATGAATTGGAAAATTTGACTTTATACCCCAGGGCTCTTCTGACACCCTCATTGCCTGACATGTTGATGTGAAAGTCTGGGAATTGAAAGGCTCAGAATATACCTGAAATTTCAGTAATTAACAGCAGAAATGCTGGCAAACCACTGAGCTGGAGAGAACAGGGAGGATGTCAACCCAAATAGGAGTCTGCTGTTTTAAAATACACAACTCTCAGCATTTCTGGGCACTACTTTTCACAAAAGAAAATTAAGGAGGGAGGTAAGGAAAGGGAAAAATATTTACAGTGGATGTTAAAGATTCAGGTTATGGCTCTTTATGTGCTTAAGCCTATTAATATTACAGAATTATGCAGTGTCTGCATATCATTGCTGATACTGCTGCATCTTTCTTTCCAGGCTTTTGCGGAATATACTCTGTATCCATCGCTGTTCAAATGACTGAGTCCAATCAGCAAAGTCTTTTGTAAAACAGGCTTTCAGGACTGCATTCTCTAATAAAAGTCTGTTTGTGTGTCTGCTCTGCAGAGTGCCTGTCTCTATTGTTGGGGTGGGATTAGTATTCCTATAGCATAGAGAAATTCAAGCCAACAGAGGGATCTGATTGTGCTAGGTGCTGTACAGGCACCTCTTCTTCAAAACCTGGTAGGCTACATAAAGAAGAGAGATTACAGGTAGGAGAGAAATTACTACTCTCCATGGGCACTGCTGGTGAGGCAGCTTTTAGCTATGGGAAGGAATTTATAGCAGCCAGGAGGTAGGAGTTGGTTTGATTCCAGTAGATCCACTGAGGCAACAGCTCTTTGCTTCCCACTCCCTAATTTTGTAATGCATTCTTAGGAAAAAGACATAGCTCAGAAGTCATTTAGCAGCTGGCCTATTTGTTTCTCACAGAAAGATCAGAAAACTTTTGAACGCAGCATTTGACATAAGTAGGATCTTTGTTTGCAGCTTTTTTACTCTACATACAAATTGTGTT